CTCACACCGAACAGCAAGCTATATATTGCTATAATTTCAAAAGCGCGATTTTACGCCAGTACTTAAAACCTTCCATCCTTTATGGGTGGATTTTACATATAAGCAAAATGAGGATGTTAAATTTGATGTATGCCGTTTTGTGCTTCTTCGTTACATTTGTTTGTTTTTATAGTGATTAAGATGATAACACAATGTTGACTGCTGTACCCCTATTTTTGACATTTTTACCTATAGTGTCTGTTTGTTTTGTTCACGCATCGTTGTCAATATAATGGAATTTGATGCGACTGTCATACAAGTGAGAGGTTTAGCTAGCTATAAAACCAGGTTCAATCCACCTTTTTCTACTTAAGAAAATGCCTGTACCAAGTCAGGAATATGACAATTGTTATCCATTAGTTTGATGTGTTTGAACTTTTGATTTTGCCATTTGACTGGGGACTTTCCTTCTTGAATTTTTCTCGGAGTTCAGTATTTTTGTGATTTTACTTTTTGTACACCTAAAATTTGTAAAGAGATGTCAGAGTATATACCGCCTAAGTATCTCTCCTTATGCAAAAGGAAAACAACATGTGACGTTTCTACGTTTTACACAAGTATTCCTCACTCTAAACGTAAGTTCAGATTGAAATAAAAAAAGAAGTAGAAGATAGAAACTGGGCAATCAAACCATTATTCGGAAAAGGACAACTTTGTTTCATACAAAAGAATGGCTAACGTAGACACATGTTTATTGTTTAAAGAACGACAATCATATTTAGAAACAAAATAAATCGATTCATATAAAATAATTATTTAACTGACACTATCAAAATTCTTTTTTTTATATTGGCAACATATTGTTACCTTTGGTGGAGGTGTTTTTCAGTCGTAAATCCTATTTGAAACTCCGTTTGGTCCTCAGTTTTCTTGTCAACTTGTTCCTTTATTCCTTTGCAGGAGCTTCTCGAGAAGAATGAGATATAAGCTATCATTAACATTAAATTTCACGTGAGTTTTTTCTACTTGAAAAACTCTAAATTTAATGACTATGTTGATCGTATACCTATTGGACTTTGAATATAAAATACCACAGATGCGGTAAATACTGTTTTATACCTTGATTTGATATAGAAATGCATCTTGAGGTCCGGTTGAAAACAAAGGTTTATGATAAAAAGATAATTCCAAATTTTCCTTTGTAAACTTTACAGTTCTACGTAGCAACATCCCAGCAGTACCTGCATATGGAGTTTATATCTTCCAGTTTATACAATATTCCACGGCTGACATTTTATATCATGAGTTCTTTAATAGAGAGTAGCTGCTTAAAATTCATCTATTTGGACGTTTTACGAGCGCCATCATAAATAAGGTGGCCATTAAAGAAAATATTTCTCCTATTACTACGAATATGCTGTACCTGTTTTAAAATCACCCCAATAATATGAAGACCCCCGAGATTGTCAGTAAGGAGAAAATTTTCAGGCTGCGTGTCGTCAGCGGGGAAAGGTAAGCCGGAGTGGAAGTCCCCACGACCAAGGGGGAAACATACGAAGGCCCCGGACCCCGTCCACTTTTCCTCTATTGTGCAACAGGATATTTACTCGCCATGAGCAAAACAACGGCTATTACTTGTGGAACAGGAACTGCTTATCCTTCTCGAATAGTTCAGTTTTATCCCCAGGTTTTGGTGGGTTTCGTTTTGCTTTTGAGTTTTCCTAGCTTTTGATTGCCCCCTTGGTATCATTTTCCAAAATTCAGATTCATTAAATTCTCAGTACAAAATTAAACAAGTTAACTGCTTAAGTTTGAAGTATCATCAAAGACTTAACATAACTTGATTGTACTCGCAATATTAATCCCCCAATACAACAACAATTTCCGGCCAGCCGGTGTTTCCCTTATATCTATAAATAAAATGTAACTCAGCGGTACTCTTTGCTGTTTGAAATCAATTTTATTAAAAATGAAGCAATTTGCTTTTATGGTTAGACTTCATATTCAGGTTACTGTTGTTGAAACATTAAAGAGCATACCATAATCTGTTCCGTTAGTTCATTTTAGGTTTATATTAACACTTCGTCTAATGACATTCTTTCAGTTAAACTTAAGTTTTATTCAATATCTTACCAGGAACAGATGCAAAAGAGCAACAATGGTTATTTTCTTCTTTTTGTCCTAGTTAACTTAAGATGATTCATGATTTTTGTTCTGTTTTCTGTTGTTGTTTATTTTGCTTACGTCTTTATAGTTTTCCTTTCATTATGTGGAATTACTTTGCTGTTGGGCTTGTCATTTTATAACATTACATCAACTTAACGTCAGTTATAATACAAACTGCTGGTCAATAATCGTCGTATGACGTCATCAGTTAAAGAGTTAAAGGCTTTTTGTGTAACAGTGGATTATTGCATGTAAGTTTGTAAATTGAAAGGTGCTTTCTCAAAACATGTGAAAGAATTATAGGTAATTATTCTGACAAATGTCACCAAAAGGTCTTAAAGAACGTCATAACTTCTGTTTAAACGAAGGACTATTTGATAATTAATTTGTGATGTAAGTTTATTATGTTATTTAGTTCTTAGTTTTTAGATATATATATATATATATTTTCAAATTTTATGTTTTATTTAAATATTGGATCACCATTAGTTTGCTCTGACATTTGAGTTCATTATCATCTGCCAAATCAAATCAAATCAAATCAAATCAAGATTCATACCTAAAAGTGTGTTTTAATATTTGTATGCTGATAACTTAAATATATAAATCATCTAAGTGGGCTGGTGGTAAATTACTAGTCTTTTGTGAAGGAGGGTCTAGTGTTCGATCTCTGGCTAGGTCAAACTTTGGTGAAGGAGGGTTTTGTGTCCGATCTCTGGCTAGGTCAAACCAAAGACTTCAAAAAGGGTATTTGCTGGTTCTCTGCCAAACATGCGACAATTCTGATGAAGAGCAAAGACTGCATGGTGGGTTTTAGAGTCGGAATAATGTGTATATGTATGGTGGCATGCGTTCTGGCGTGGACTATTCCCTTGTGGGATAGCAACTAAAATAAATCCCTCTCAGCGTCTCCGTCAAGTACAAACACATGCCATATTCAATTCTCATTAATATGCTATCATCATGGATATGATATAGATATTTTCTACTGGACGAATATACAAATAAAGAGATGTGGTATGATTGCCAATGAGGCAACTATCCACCAGAGTTGAAATGACTTGGATATAGGCAATTAAAGGTCATGTTAGGCCTTCAGCAATGAGAAAAAAACCATACCGTGTAGTCAGCTATGAAAGTCCCCGACATGAATAATGTGAAATGGTTCAAACGAGAAAATCAAACGGCCTCATTTATAACAATACAATTATCGAAAAATCACTATGACAGACATGAACCAAAGACAACCACGGAATTACAGGCTCCTGACTTGGGACAGGCACTTACAGAATGTGGCGGGGTTAAAACATGTTTATGAGCGCTCAATGATCCCCCTAGTTTGGGACAGTTGTGTAACAGCACAATAGAAGAACTGTAGAAATCAGTTGCAAATGGCTTACCTCAGGTACGAGCACATAAAACAACTTAAAACAATAATAGACAAAGCACCGATATACGAGTATTCGCAGAATGTGTTGACAGTGGATACCATTATTCATATGTATGTAATAACAGTTTTATTTCATATCGAAGAAAAGAATGCATTCATACATATTATACTAAAAACCAATTGTACTGAAAATGGAAAAGATTCTTGCATTGTGTTACTGTCAGTTGTAACGTGAGGTATCTATATTTATCAAGAATCTTCTACATTTATTCAAGTAGTTACATAAACTGTTTGTAATGTTAGAATGTACATTTTTGTTGGATATTTCCGTCTACTCTTACTTTTCTTTTTTATTTGTTATTGGTCCTCGTGTTTCACATGTATCTGAGCTTAAATAAAGAAATGAAGAAAATTAATTTCCTAACGGCAATATGAACGCGACCGTTGCTCCTAAAAAGAGTTTAGGAAGTATTGACATCGGATTCGAAGAGGACGCAGAGAAACAACTTCTATATTCAAAAATTACTAAAAAGGTGATAATGAAAAATGAAATTTGAAGGGACAAAATAATCAAGTAAATATGCAGAGAACATCGTAGAATGTTTGTTACTCCATTTACCATCAACTTCTTTATTTTGGTAATATCTAGTCACTTCACGTAGATATCGCTCGAAAAAAGAAATTACTTTTTATACTTTTGAAAATTTATGAATGTGAATTTGTTTTTATTCACTTGGTATTCAGGGAAAAGTTTACTTTCTGAACTCCCAACTTCGAACTTAGTTTCATAATTTTTAGAAATATCAATCTGCATCAGCATACATTCTTGACATTTAAAACACTTTAAAATTTTGCTCATGATGTAAATATTTTTGGAACATTAAGGTAATATAATATAAAGAACATTCTTATAAATATCTATTTTGTATAACTGTTCATCGGTTGACACATTTATCATTGAGATAGCAAAAAAGTGAAGGTAGCTTATCTATTTCTTTTATATCCTTTTGAAATTTCAGTTAAATAAAACTGAATAAATCTACATGTTAACAATAAACAATTTCTGCAGTTAGAATGATAACAAATTATTTTCACACAGCGTAAAACATAAATCTTTTTTCACAATAGTATTTCCTTAGTTCGAACCTGATATCTTTTAAATAGCTTTGAATACTTTAAAAATTTGAAGGTGTCAAATTTTAAACCATTTTGAAAAGAAATATTTTAATGATTTAAAGTTTAAAAATTCCGATAAAAGAAAGTAAATCCGAAGATATTTTCACCATTTGCCGTTAGTTATATCAAACCGCAAGCCATAACGGTATTGTCAATTGAGTAAAATCAATCAACCTTTTATAAGAATCTATAACATATATAAAAGCATGTGATCAAAATAAGCGATAAACCGCACCTCTGGTCCTATGCCTTACTGAAAAGTCACTGTCTGTACATGTTTGTTTATATAAATTTCTACCTGAATTCACCAGGTAATAAACTTGATCAATTGATCGTTGATCATTTAAAGTCTTGAACGTCGTATTTACCGTTCGGTCAAATTTTCAATACAATTTGCATGTATGAATAAGGATTGTTAAGATTCATCATTCAGAGTTATATATCTGTCTGTCAGATTCATTTAATGGTATGTTCATAAGGAATCTACATCTTCATCAGAGCAGCTGATCACTGATTAGAAAAAGACAGGTAAGTGATACACCTGTATATACAATATTATTGGAAACACAATCTTTTTTAAATAGATCTTTGACAAATTTGTATTTAATGTATTCGAACGTAAACAGAATTAACTCAAATTGCATGTTTTAATTAAGCGGACGTCTTTGGAAATCCAATCTCATTCAAGTCGGAACTCAATTTCTATGATATAATATCATGCCATCATTGTTGATATCTTTGTCGATGTTCAGTGGGGGTATGTAATTAAAGGTAAACCCTTTAGTAATGGGTTGTACATAAATAACCGCATATTACATGTATAACATGCTAGCTTAATTCATGTGAAAATCAATAATCCATTATGATGAGAACATGCACTCGTTTTATGAAGGAAGTTATGCTGTTATTTCATATGGAAACTACCGGTGGTGGAAAAATACATTTTCATTCACATGTCTAGTCCTCTCCACTTTAAAGGAAAATAAAGTTTCTCAAAGAGATCCAAAGTTAATATAGATTTAAGCTTTTGGTAGTTTATAAGTTGCCCGTGTTTCGTTACATTAAATAGGCTTAATTAAGAAAACCGTCGAATAGATACATAAAAATTAGAACGATTAACGATACATATAAATAAGAAAATGTGGTATGAGTGCCAAGGAGACAACTATCCATCCAAGTCACAATCTGTAAAAATGTCTGTTAAATAAACTGCACATACTTTTTTTTGGTATATACTAGATAATAGTAGATTTCAAATGTATTTTGATGACTCGAAATTGTTATTCTGCAAGTTTCTCGACATACCAGAAGGTGTTATTTAATCTTGACTGCTGACGTTCATATGACACGAACTCTACCAAACAAATACTGACACTAACAATAGAAAAACATTTAGTATAAAGTGAAACTCTACAGTGTATACAGACATTCTATAATATACAACATGACTTATTTAATTCCTGCTTTGACAAATAAACTAAAGCAACGACCAGTGTAAATTTTTAGATTGACATGATGGGATATTATTTGGTAAAATCTAAAGTATCTTGTATGCTTGCATTTTGCGTTTTAATAATGTCGTATGACGCAGAAAGTTTGCTTTTATCATTTGAACGTTGTACTTCTAAATGAAAAATAATAAGTTGTAAAATCTTCTTTGTTTTCAGCCATGTGTTTTAACCTTTTTTTTACTAGTTTATGCCAAAGTGATTTTTATCGTGCTTGTATTTCCGTCTTTTAAATTATGAAAGAATCTAATTCATCAATGAGCAGATTTTAATTGATAAATCAATACGTCCTAGTCACGTATTAAAAGATCTTATAGTTGATGTATCAACAAGTCCATCGAGTGCTTTCAGTATTCTACCAAGTCATACATTGCATTATTGTTGGGTTTTTTTTATCAAAATATCATGATTGCAGACTTTATTACAGAACATGGTTTTGAGTACACAATTTTATTAATTTAAAACATCCTGTCCGAGTGACATTCTGTTAATTATGAAGGTTTGATAAAACCCTGTATTGACTCTTTTTTTTCACATGTGTATTACCAGATTATTGAAAATTTTAAGGAAAACTGAACCAATATTGAACTCGGACATTACTGATTTTTGTCATGTCCATAAAAGGTTAATATTAATTGCTTATCTATTGAGAACGATATGTAGCTCAAATAATCGCATCACAGTAACTAACTCTTCCAGACCACTTAACACAATGAGAACAAATCGTCCAACTGAATAAACACCTCGCCTTTGCTGATCCTTTTCTTGTTGTACACAACAGTATAAGAAAAGTATTATACTTATCTATAAGATTAAACTGTTATAATTGTCAGCTAAGGGTTATATACGTATTAACCTTTATAAATATTTGATTAATTTTTCGTGCCTTGACAAGGCACAGATCACGGATCAATTATTTTACCTGGTTGGACATCTAGGTAAATACAATACCTGCGTTGCTAGTCCTATTTATTTGAATTTGAATGATTTATTGTACATTTCAAAAGATAACCTGCATTGTTCGCTGTACATCTAATCCTTCCTATATTTCACCTTTTCAAACCTGTTGAATTTATAACTTTTACTTGACCATTGTGATTCTCGCTGTGTCTTACTGTGATGAAATGTTAATGATAGAATACTGTTCTAAGTGGCACATACTCAGGGGAGACGTCCTTATGAATTATTGTTATACAGAAGATAAAACTACCGTGAAGAATTGGAATGTTTGTTTTGGAGAAGTAGGTTGACATCACATACATGTGCAAGGCCTTAATGTCATTTTGATAAAATTTGTTAAAAATTCTGGTTATATATAAACAAGCAAATGATTGTTTCTTGCTTAAACCAGGAGCATATATATTTGATATATTAGATAAACTGTTCCCAGCTTAAATGTGTATTGGATTTTTATCAGTTGTGAAGCATGCCTTAGTACTTTTTATATCTTTATCTTTTTCCTTGCATACCAGCAGTACTTTTGGTGAGTTTTTACAACCGCTGAGTTAATGCCACTACTGGTGGACGTTTCGTCTCTGAGGTTATCACCAGCCTAGTAGTCAGAAATCCTGTGTGGACATGAAATATCATTGATATGGTCATTTTCTGTAAATTTAGATCATAAAAAATGATAATTTTTTCAATATACATAGTTTTTCGACCCCGATCATAGATGGCTTTAACCGAATTTGGCATAACGTTTGGAATGTTTGGTTTTTAATACTCTTCTAATTTGTATTTGAATTATTCTTCCAATTGGTTTAATTCGAGCGCCACGGATGAGTCTTTTATGTAGACGTATCTCGCGCGTCTGACGTAGCAAATTATAAGTCTGGTATCTTTGAAAAACTTTTAAAAAATATATATTTTGGAATTTTTATGTTCATCGGCAACTTTCCTTGTGAGAAAGCACCTGAAAATCATTGTTTTAAACCTTTTGACCTCTGCCAATTGCTGGTGCAAAATAATGTAGAAATATTTCGTTCAATGATTATCATGTCATTGCATGTTATCACTTTGCTCACTGTTAAAAAATTTAGCAAATTGCAGACAAAGAAATAATAAAAGTTCTATATAGCTTTATACCAGAGACATTAATTATATGTGTCTCTGTTTATACTTTGAAAATTTTGCTAAATTTAAATGTAAAAACAATTTCTTATACGGTTTTCCATACGTCTATAGGGAAAGCGGTTTTCCTATATGAAGTTTTTTTCCCATTAAGAATACAGGAAATGTACAGCTACTGACTTAATTCGAGAACTGACGGTTATTTTCTTTGACCCTATACAACCATCTGTTCTCAGCCTTAGCTCATAAAAAGCGTTCTTTATATGGTTTGTTATACAACTAATTATTATAATCATAATTACAATCCTGTGATGGTTAGTAGTGTTTTCCCTTTCAATTCTGCATATGCCGATTATTAAAAAGGCAAAACTTATATTACTATTAAGTATAAATACGAGACAGTTAATCAAATTTACTGAAATTAAGTACGGAAGTCAGACTGCATTGTGACACTTTCGTTGTTCTGACTATCGAGTGATGATTAGTTATTCATTGATTAATATCTACCTGGGGACAGGTGCTTGTTAATTCATGTATTGATCTTCGTTGACGTCGTTATGTGTAAATTCTATAGTCACCAGAAGTAATGAAGAAAAGAGTTTTATATACCAAGCACCAAGCTCCTGTTGTCTGCTTCATATACACATGCAGGTATTTTTTTCACATGGCATGAAACATTCTGCGTGAAAACATTTGAAATAAAACTATATATGCAAGGCAATTAAACACGTATGTAGAATATCTACACACCGAGCCATCATGAATTAATCACATTCGGATTTTTTTTAAAAGAGCTCGTTTCGAGCTACTAGTATTTGTTTTTTTAAGGAAAAACTAATCTAATTCAGATGATACGCAGACAAAGTTAGGATACTCACAAATCTAGTTTTATCCCTGTCTCGTGCTAATATACCCGTAAAAACAGGATACGAGCCCTGTCCCATGCTAATGTGACTGTCTAGAAACCAGGAACCTCGTCATTGATACGGAATTTGGTTTTAACAAAGGATCTTTGATAGTCTCTGTTAAGTTCATTAAATTGACTACGAAAAATTTAGTCATTAACCATATGATATGGACACCTTACCATTGAAGACCGTATGTTTACTGTTACTTTTATGTTGTTGTAAATTACAGTGTTTCAATGCATTTACCCCACACCTAGCTTGTTTTATCTAAATTTATATAACAGTAATCATGGCTACATGTGAAGCTTCAAGAAACACCAATACAAGACCTAATTGTTAAAAGAATTTCCCTGTCTGTCTTCGCTCATGTCAAATCATGCTTTAACATCGATAAGACGGGGACATATCTGCTATTGTTTAAACATTTAAACAGTAATAACTAATAAAACATTACAATATAAATTACATTTGTTTTAATGTAGTGTTTGCTAATAAGTGAAATGTATACATGTGTGTCTATATGGTGTGGCTTCTTACGGTAGATTCATACTATGTCATGGCCACGTGGTCATGGCATTATCCTGTTATTAAGATCTGGATGTACAATGAAATACACTAGGATAATTAACTAATGTATATTTGTTTAGCTTTGATAAAGGAATTTATTATTGTTATTTCTCCAATACTTTGGAAGGTTACTTGTCTTGATTTTAATAATTTCGTGTCATTGGCAATCATACCACATATTTTTTTATAGAGTTCGTGTAATTAATTTATCCGATATGCAAGCTTTAAACCATTACGTCTTTTGAGCGTTCATGATAAAGTTTAATCCAGAAAAGTGCTTCGGACGCACACACTGTATAAAGTGTAATTTTCATTTTGTATAGCACTGGGTCGATACCACTGCTGGTGAACTATCCTCAGCTCAGTAGTCAATTCTATACTGAGATGATTTATAACAAACCTTTCATAAATTGTCCGTTCATAAATATAAAAATTATTAAGAAACTAAGGTTCCAATTTTCTCATTAAATGTTGA